CAGGCAGCTGGGTCTGAGTCACACCTGCCTGCCCGTCGTCACCTGGTGGACACGGGGCACCTATGGCATCGGGTGGTGTGCTGGGCACCATGGGTGTGTGAGTGGCAAGTCATGAAGGAGGCTCAGGGAAACCCAAGGGAGGCGTCTGCAGGGTCCTCATCCTCACGTACCCGTGGGTAGGTGGGAGCAATGGGAGTGTGGGTGGAAGTGACGTCTACCAGTTGCCATGTTCCCCCTCTTCCATGCCCATGTCAATTAACGGAGCGCGGGCACCAAAGACAGAAGAGGTCTTGAATGCCACTGTCACCACTGGGGGAGGGCCCTGAGACCCACTATAGGGCTGTGATGGGAATAAGAAGGCCCCGAGGTGTTGGGACTGCATGCTATGAAGACTACAAGCCCATGTTCTTTATGCTAATGCAGGTCGGCACTGCTGGCATGGGGGCGGTCACTGTGCCTGGGCACCCATTACCAGGCAATGTGTAACAACTGAGGTGTGACACTGGCTGGCAGGTGGCATGCAGTGGGGCTGGGGGAAGGAAGATGCAATGATAGCCGCAGGATGTGCAAGTGGCAGGGTGAGTGACAGCCACCCAGGACAACAGGGTGGGGCTCAGAGCAGTGACCCTAGTCACAATGCCCAGCAGACGGGTGGCATTGGACAGGGTGCAGGCATAGAAGAGGTCACCTAGGAATGAAGCCTCAGAGGATATGGGGGATCAGAGGTCAGCGAGCTGTCGCTCTGGCCCCACCAAGGGAGCACGTGGCAGTCCTCACAGGCAAAGGAGGGCAGCTCAGAGCTGAGGTTGTCCTGCTGGGTCGGAAAGGCTTTGCTTGTCAGGGCATCAGAGAGCATGCTGCCTTCAGAGCAGCAGCTGGCCGGGCTGCAGGAGACGGTGAAGCTCCCCGCAGACGTCAGGCCACCCTCACATTGGCTGTGTTCCAATGCACAGCAAAGTCCCAAGGTTATGACCTCCCCTTGAGGTGACACAGCTCCTAAGTGTGGGGTGCTCCAGGGCCCAGCCGTGCCCTCCGCATGCGCAGGCTGATGTGGGGTGTGGAAGGGTCAGGGGAGGGTGGCTAGGGAGCAGGGGCAGCTAGCCAGTGACAGAGCCTGCCCACCCTGGCCCCTGCATCCTTCTGGAGCACACATCCTAGATGGGGCGGGGCAGGCCAGGTGGCCAGCCACTCCTGGCATTTCCTCCCAAGCTTGGACAGCTCACTGGCCATGACCAGTGTGGGATCCAACACAGGAGGTCAGACCGGGGTGCCGAGAGGGTGGGGAAGAACTTGGGGGTCCCCCAGACTTTGGGGGCTGTGGGCAGAGGTGTCAGCTCACACATGCTCTGCTACTCCCTTCCCTCGTTCACAGAGAGCCTAGGTGTCCTTGGACCAGGTTTGCGGTTTACCACTCATATGTCCATGGGAGCCCGTACCAGTTTTGAAAATAGAATTGCTTTAATAACAGCACAGTAAGCAAGCAGGAACATGCACACATCTGACAGTGCAGCATGAGCAAGGTTCACAAACAGTGTTGTGCAGGAACAGAACCCCTTCCCGGCCCCCCTGAGGGCTGCCCCAGCCCCCCACCCCGCCTAAATCATGAGCAACCGCAGCTGGGCGAGGGCCTCAGCCCGCAGATCAGCTGCGTCTGATCATGAACATTGGGTAAATTGAGTCGTGCAGTCCGCACTTCATGCCTGCTGTATTCTGTTCAGCGTTCGGTTTGGGCTGTACAAGTTTCCTTTTGTTTTTTAATAATTCGTTTATGGGTCAGTGCCATGGCCTAGTAGGCTAAGTCCCCTCCTGTGGCACCAGCAGCCCCTGTAGGCACAGGTTCATGTCCTGGCTGCTCCACTTCCACTCCAGTTCCTTGCTTATGGCCTGGGAAAGCAGTGGAGGATGGCTCAAGCCTTTGGGCCCCTGCACCCATGTGGGAGACCTGGCAGAAACTCCTGGCTTTAGATCAGTCCAGCTCTGGACATTGTAACCAATTAGAAAGCGGACCGATGCAGAGGTATCGCTCTCTTCTGTAACTCTGCCTTTCAGTAAATAAACAGATAAATCTTTTAAAATAATATTTTATTTGCTTGAGAGGAAGAGAGAAATCTTTCGTTTACTGGTTCACTCCCTGAATGGCCACAGTGGCCATGTGTTGGCCGGACGGAAGCCAAGAGCCTTGAACTTCATCCGGGTCTCCCAGGCGGGTGGGAGAGTGCAAACGTATCCGCCATCTCACGGGCCTTCCCCGCCACGTTAGCAGGGAGCTGAGCAGGATTTGGGGTATCCGGGATTCAAACCAGCATTCTGATACAAGATGCTGCCATCGCTGCAAGCGGTGGCTTAACCCTCCGTGTCATGGCCCTGCTACCTGGGCCGCACGAATATTCTATAGCTTACAAAGGGCTCGTTTTACTTATTTTATAATTGGTGGACATTCAAGTTGGGTGTCCTTGGGTTTTGCCTATATTAAGCATTGCTGCTGGAATTTTTTTTGGTATACATTGTTTACTTCTTGCCTTTTTATTCATTTTTAATTTAATTTTAAGGGTTCATTTATTTTTGTTGGAAAGGCAGATCAATTTGCAGTGAAAAGGAGAAACAGAAAGATCCTCCACCCACTGGCTCACTCCCCAGGCGGCCATAACAACGAGCTGAGCCAGGCTGAAGCCAGGAGCTTCTTCTGGGTCTCCCACGCGGGTGCAGGGTCCCGGATATTTGAGCCATAATCTTTTGCCTCCCTGAGTGTACGTAAGCAGGAAGCTGTATTAGAAAGAGAGGAGCAGGTCCGATGCAGTAGCCTAGTGGTAAAAGGACTCGCCTTGAAAGCACCAGGATCCCTTATGGGTGCCGGTTCATGTCCCACCTGGTCTACCTTCCATCCAGCTCTCTACTTGTGGCCTGGGAAAGCAGTAGAGGACGGCCCAATGTCTTGGGACCCTGCACCTGCATGGGAGACCCAGAGGAGCTCCTGGTTTCTGGTTTCGAATCCGTTAGGCTTCAGCCATTGTGGCCACTTGGGGAGTGAACCAGTGAATGGAAAATCTCTCTCTCTGTAAAATCTGACTTTCCAATGAAAGGAAGGAAGGAAGGAAGGAAGGAAGGAAGGAAGGAAGGAAGAAAGAAACACAGAAAGAAAGAGAGAAGCCGGGACTGCAACCAGGCACGCCCCACGTGGAATGTGGGTGTGCCGAAAGAGGCAGCCCACAGCTGTGCCAAGTGCCTGTCTCATTCTTTCAGACAAAATGGCCCATGCTGCTTTGTTTTTGTTTAAATCAACTTTATTGAGAGGTTATTACATATAATAAGATGTGCCCATTTTAAGTGTACAGGCTGATGACTTAATGACTGTTCAGGGCCACCTAATCAAGACAGAACATTTCCATTGTTCCAGGAAGCGCCCTCCTCCTGTGCAATTAATGTCCCCCACCCTGGCCTCCCCAGGCAAGCTGCACGTTTGATGCCTATCTCCTCTGACATGCCATTCCACCTGTTCTGAGCCTCCTTGAAGCGGAATCCAGCACCTGCTTCCACGCCACTGCACCTCGCCGGGCTCACCCACAGGGCCACCTGGGCCGACAGACATTTGGTGACCAGGTCACAGCTTCGTTGGGGACAGACATGTGTGGGCTGCTTCCCAATTATGGTCATTTCAGGCACAGGACTGGGGAGCTGTGTGTTAATTACCGGATGAGAAACTGCCCAGCAGTTTGCAAAGGGCTCAGCTGTTTCACACCCCCACCGGCAGCCATGTGGGCTCATTCATCTGACTGCACCTGCCCCAGCCGGGCTGAAGGACAATGTCCCCAGTGCATGAGAGCTGCCAGCTCAGCCCTGCCACCTCGGGTCCCTCCCATCACCGCCCCCAGCCTCCCTGTCTGCTCTATTGGGGGTGCTGGAACCATCAGTCCTCCTGATGCCTCAGAGCTGCTTTGCCTGTTGCGTGCCATTCTGTACCCACCCCCCCACACATACACACACACAGATACTGGCCTCCCCCCCGGGCCTCTCAGAGTCCCCCAGCCTGTGCAGAGGAGCCCCTGACAGCTCCTTGTTGGTGTCCCCTGCCCATGATCAAAGTACTGTAATTTGCATATTCAAATATGAATTGCATATTGCATATTACATAGAAATATGATTTTAAAATGTGTTCTGCAGAGAGAAGGCTTTGAGGGGAGACGGATGAGGCAGGAGAAGGAGGTTGCTGAAGCAGAGGTGGGCTTTTGTGGCTTGTCCTCCCAGGAGCAGGGTCAGCGCCAGCCAGGACAAGCTGGCCTAGGGAGAGAGGAGGGCCAGGAGACAGGGCTTGGCTGGAGCCTGGGTTGGGAGTGGAGCTGAGAGGGGACCTCGGGGCTGTGACCAGGCACTTCCAAGGACTTCCAAGGCCTTGGCCGTGGCCTCTGTACATCTCCTCCAGCCAGGACTCAGGCAGAGAGCCATCCCCATGGCTGGCTGACACCAGCTGCAGGGCGTGGGGGTGGGGAATAGGTGATTCCACCCCCATCAACGTTGAAGGGCAAGCATCCCTCCAGGAACTGCAGTCAGGAAGCTCTGATGGGTTCACAGACAAAGGACTTCCCAAGGCCTGTGTCCCCTGGAAGATGGGGCGGCTGAGCGTCTGGGTGCCCCAAACCCGAACAGAGTGCAGGCACAGCTGAAACTCAGGTCTTTGAGGTCGGGAATCAGGAAAGGATTGGGGAGGAATGGTTTGCATCGGTGGCCATCCCTCCTCCTCCACCACAGGCAGGTGCGAGGTGACCTTCCCGAACCCGCGCATTCTGGCTCTGGTCCCCATTTGGCCTGTCTGGAACGGAGCTTGCACCTGAGCCTGGCCTGGTAGCTATCTGGCACAGCAGGAGACGCTGAGCATCCAGCGGCGCCCTAACCCGGAGGGCGGGTGACTCCGCCCCGGCCCGCCCCGCGCTCACTCCCCGCCTCGCCTGCCGCAGCCGCTCACTCCAGCCCTCCGCTGCGTCCCCGACCCGGCGGCGGCGTCTGGGGTGGTAGGGCCATGGAGCCGGAGCAGGACGCGCCCCCCGGGGACGACGGGGCCGAGGGGTTGTTGAGCGAGCTGGAGGCGCGCGTCCAGGACGTGGTGAAAGCCAGCTCGTGGTGGGAGCGCCAGGGCTTGGATTGCACCATCCTGGCGCTGAGCTTTCTTGCCTTGCCTGCCGGTGAGACGATTGATCATCCATCGAGGGGGCTGGGCTGCGGTAGGGGTTCCCCAGGACCAAGGGTCAGTCTCTCTGCAAAGTGTGGTTTTGGGGTGTCCAGCTCGGATTTTCCCCAAGGAGGCGGATGCAAGCCTGACGTATTCAGAGTGGTGGTGTCGAGGGGCACGGAGGAGGGTGCGGGCCAGGGGGCTGGGAGGCAAGGGTGGGTTTCCCCTGGGCCCCTGCTGGCCTGGGGTCCCCTCCTCTGCTTGGGCTGGCAGGAAGTCCAGCGTGAGAGCAACGGTCCGGGCTGTGCCCCCCTGTGCCCCAGCCTCTGTGAGACCTGCCACCTCCCCGTGCATCCCCAGGGCTGGGGGTTGGCACGGAGGGACCTCGGGGACCATGAACATTCCTTGTCTCCATCCTCCCCGCCCCCTCCCGGCTCCATCCTGTCTCTGCAGGGTTCCTGTGCCTGCGCTCTGAGAACATTCTGCTCTTTGCCGCTGGCATCGTAATATTGGGTGTGTGCCACTACACACTCACCGTCAAGGGCAGCCACCTGGCCACGCACGGTGCCCTCACTGAGTCCAAACGCTGGAGCAAGATCTGGGCACTTTTCTTCGTAGAGGTGAGCCTGGGAGGGGGCAGGGCAGCCACATGTGTCCAGTGGACACCCTCACTGTCCACAAGTGTGGGCGTGTGCCACTGCAGCTATTGGCATATAGAGCCTAGTGTGCAGTGTAGGGGTGTGCGTGCACCTTGAGGTGCTTGCACCTGGCAAAGGACACCTCCATGATCACGTCCAGGTGTCCACCTACAGTCCTAGCCATTCTGCAGCCACGGACCAAATGTGACCTCACCCCCTTCACCCGTCTCTCACCTGGCAACATGTGGCTTGCAAGTCCTGATATGTGACTATCTTGAGTAATAGCGACTGCAATTCTTGGGGCCTTCAGGTGTTGCAATCTGGGTTTAAGTTGTGATCCGCAGACAGAAGGGAGGGAGGGGAGAGGCCTGGGACTGTGAGTCCCTGGAAGCAGCTCCACTGACGCCTGGCAGTGGCTGAGCCCACTGGAAGCCCCTTCTTCCCCCAGGCTCTGATCCAGGAATGAGCCCCTCCCTCCTGAGCTGCACTCTGCTTCTCCCAGCCCTTCCCTCTGCTGCCCTCTCAACTGCTTGCAAGCCCAGGAAGGCAAAGTTTTTGGGCCAGGTGCCCTTGTCTCCTGACTCATTTCCACATATTTGTTCTCTCTTCTTTCCCCAGGGCGTAGGCGGGCCTCACCTGGCCACCCAGGTCATAGAATCCTTTTTAGGCAGAAGCCAGTGATCAATGAACGTTTAACTTCCTATAAAGTTATGCCACTTGATAAAATTATGAAGCACAAAGCACACAGGTGCATGCATCTTATCCCCCGTCCGCTGAGGGAGGAGGTACCGCTCACCTGGCATTGTCTCTTCCCTGCTCTCGGTCCCTCCTGATCCTCAGGCTCAATTCCAAGTCACTTCCCTCACTGGGGGTCCCTGGGTGTGGCTCCAGCCAGAGGCACGAGACAGACCCTGGAATCTGATCAGATGCTTGCCAAGTCACAGAGAGAAGCAGATGCCGCCCTGGGCTGGCCTCAGGGCAGTGTCACAATCCTGGGACCCGTGGGGTAGCATCTGTCCTGTTGGGATTTTCCAAAGCTGGTGGAGTGTCGGGAGCCTGGAGGCAGCTGTTGGGAATTCCAGACTAATTGGCTTCCACAGGTGCAGGTATAGCGCTGACCTCATGGTTTGCCACCTTGGGGTACAGTTGAGTAATGCAGAGGGCCCCCGCTGAAAACTCCAGACAATTGCATTTTTACTGAGTTCCCTGGAGGATCTGATACCCATTCAAGGGGGAGAATCTCTGAGCTACACTGCCTGGAGTTCACAGAGGCAGCCTCCTCTGAGAAAGCTTCCTGTATTTGCTGGCTGGACAGCTCAGCCAGAAGCCCCTGCAGGACCCACACTGTCTGCTGGGCTACCCTCTGCTTGCTGCTCCCTGTCTTGTCCTTACAAGCCCCGGACCCTGGCCTGAGCTTTGCCTCTGGGCCGCAGCAGCTCCAGGGTCGGCTGGCCTGAGCCTTTGGGAAGTTTTCCAGCAGTGTTTGCAGATGATGACGGTGCAGTTGCATGGGTGATCAGGTCCCAACATGAGCTGCCTGAGGAAGGACCACAAGCTGGGGGACCTTGAAGTTGGAATCCCAGCCCTACCGGCTGCCTTGACCTTGGCCAGTTGCTTCACTCCGTGTCTCAGCATTAATCTTGCAAGCAGGAGTGATAACAGTCACACAGACAGCCAGGGTTTGACGAAGGGCCAGCTCTGCCCTGGCGCCTCTGTCTCTGCTTTACAGCTGAGCTCCACTGGGCTAGGTAGTGCTGGGGGTGGGGAGTGCTGCCTCTTTGTTCCTTTGCATGCCTTGGTGTTCCCTCCATCCTCGGTGGGTGCTCCAGGACCCTCCACCTCTGTACCCATCTCTCTGGGGTCCCACAGCAGTCCCTGGGCCTGGCTCAGGGTTTATCAACTCCCAGCCAGGAGAGGAACCTCCTTCAAGACCCGTTTCCGACCCTTGAGAGAAAGTTTCAGCTCCCCTAGTAATACCCCTGGCAATATCCCCCAGTGCACACTGTCTGACTCACAGACAACACTAGTCTTACTGGATCAGGGCACCTGCCCCTCCTGGTCCTGCGTTGTGTCGCTGGGATTGCCAGAAAGGGCCACTAGAAGGTGGGGACAGGTATGTCCTCAAGTGTGGGAAGGATTAATGGCTGACAGAAGAGGGGTCGCAATCCAGGATGCTCCCCTGGGTGGGAGAGGCCGGGCCGGACCAGTCATGGAGGAGTGCTGTCCTCTGGCACCGCTCCAACTCTCCCTGGGGAGATTGGCTGTGTGTTGCAGGGAGCAGTGCCACCTGGCAGCGGTTGTGCCGGGGGGGAGAGGCGATGTACAGGAGGAGCCCTGCAGCCCCCTCCCCAGTGGGTCTCTGGAGGAGTGGAGACCACGCTGAGAATCCCCAGCACAGTCCTGGTTGTCATCAGTTCGTGCAGGTTATGCAGCTTCCCGCTCCAAACTCCCAAGTTTGGAACTGTATCTAGAGGGCATGTTCAGAACTGCAACACAAAATAGACTTTTGTCATAAAAATGAATTTAAAAAATCAAGTCACAGAACTGGCCAAAAAGGACAGAGAGGTTGGCAGACTCTTCGCTGGGTTTCCCCCAGGAAGCGTCACTCAATATTCAAACCAAGGAAGGTGGCATGAGTCCAGCACACACCACACACATGTGTTCACAGTTGTGTGCATGTGTTTGTGTGTGTGCCTGTATGAGCAAGTGTGTTGTGCGTGCACTGCACACACATGTGTGTTTGCGTGTTACGTGTGTGCGCGCACATGCTTTTGTGCAGATTCTCAGATCATACACTCACTTTGCTGTGGCTTTCCCAAGGACAAGCCTGAGACTCCAGCAAGTGGTCTCCGGGTGACTCCAGTTGTGTCCAGAGTTTGAGATCCCCAGAAACCGCCAGGAGTCTGAAGTTGATCCAAGTACACAAGGATGGTTTACTCAAGCTCAGCACATCCAAGCCTGTGTTCTTAGCGGGGAGAAGGAAGCTGGCTGACTGACCAGCCTAATGGCCAGCCAGGACCAATACCCCTTACAGGAGTGCAGCTCCAAACAGCACATTCTTAGGGTTTCTATAGGGGCAGTCCACAATAGCCTGCAAGGTGAGGGGGAAATACCATACATTGCCTACCTGTCTTGGCTGGACAGCCCATGCCTCCAGCCATTAAGGTAATCACCCGCTTAGTTATTTGGAACCATCTGTGAAATAACCAGGCTTAGGTGGGCCTTGATTCATGAGAATTGGGGTCCATCAGTGCTAAAGGTCACAGAGGCTGCTAAAGGTCACATAGGCCGTTTGGCCTGCGAGCTCACACAGTTTCTTAGCAGCAATGAGCCATGAGCAAATGGTTGGGATTTTGATACTGAGGTTCCTCACTTAGAAGTCTGGCTCCCTGCAGACCTTGGAGAGGACACAAGGCCCCAGCATGAAGGCGCAGGAGGGCTGGGGAGGGGCCGGGTCATGTCACTCCGAATCTGAGTAGTGTCACCTGGAGCGAGGGGCCTGGAGAGAAACCAGCAATTGAAGGCAGATGGGCACCCTCCCTGTCCAGCTCTCTGCCCCTCAGATAAATACAGCACAATTTTCAAAAACTCTGTTACCATTCTCTCCAAGCCAGAATTGGGGGGCAGTGATGGGGGGTGCCAGCTCGCGCTGGAGGCTGCAGGTTATACCTTAGTCTCAGTTCACAGGCCTGCCCTCCTAAGAGCTCAAAGCTGCTACTTCTCCCACTTGTGGATGAAGAAACACGGACCTAGGGGGTTACAGCCTCTTGCTCAAGGCTGTACAGCAGGTGCATACAAGTACAGCTTGCCCACAGCAGGGGTAACCCAGGACCAGGGTAGGATGGGGTGAAGGCTCTGAGGGCACATGGCAGGGATGCTGAGCTTTTTTGTTTTAATTAATTTATTTTTGTGCACGTGTGTGTTTTCTTAATTCAGGATCCCAAGGGGCGAGTGACAAGTCTGCCTCCCTCTACCCTCTGCTGCCTCACCGTCCTGGCAGTTGGCAAACGTGTCTTCTGTCTCTCTCTAACCATTTCCTCTTTTATTTTTAAAATACACAGCACATGACAAGATTTTTTAAAAACCCACAGTTATAAGATTTTATGACACAATTAAAGCTGGACATTAACTAGGTCACTCTGTGGGGTTTGAATCAGGAGACAGGCACAGGGTGCTGGTGCGCACCTGCTGGGAGACACGGATGGAGAGATGGGGTGCAGGGCCTGCTGGTGCAAGCGGAGGTTGCTTGACTTGGATCTAGGGACCAGGGGCGACCATGGGAGGAGCCAAGGCCCATGCCCCAGGTTCCAGCTTGGTGCCATGAGAGCAGAGGGCAGCAGGTAGGGCTGGCAGTGTGAGGAACACAGGTTTTGGCATATGCAGGGCAGTGTCCCTCAAGAGGGAAGGACTCAAGGCTAGTCTCCCCAGCCCCTTTTCTAACTTTGGACCTTTTTTGCTGAAACCCCGGGCTGGAGGAGGGAAGAAGCGACCCCTGTGCAGCCGACCTCAGAGTGGAAGAAGGCACATCCCTGGGCCTGTGTAGGTTCAGGAGGTTCAGGTGCCAGAGGGAATCCCACCTCCACAGCACAAGCCCTGCCTTTGATTACTGGCTCCACTTCTGACACAACGTCCTGCTTTTATTTTTTTATTTTTAAAAATTTTATATGTTTATTTAAAGGCAGAGTCATGGAGAGAAGGAGAGAGAGAGAGATATCTTCCTTTTACTAGTTCATTCTGCAAGTGGCTGCAACAGCTGGAACTCTGTCGGGCCAAAGCCAGCAGCCAGTTTTGACTACTTCTTCCATGAAGGTGCAGGTTCCCAAGGCTTTGGGCCATCCTCTACTGCTTTCCCAGGCCACAGGCAGGGAGCTGGATGGGAAGTGGAGCTACCGCGATTAGAACCAGTGCCCATATGGAATCCTGGCACATTCAAGGCAAGGACTTTAGCCGCCAGGCCACGCCACCAGGCCCAGAAAGGCAGATTTACAGAGGAGACAGAAAGATCTTGTGTCCACTGGTTCACTCCCCAAGTGGCTACAATGGCCAGACCTGGGCTGATCTGAAGCCAGGAGCTTCTTCTGGGTTCTCTCCATGGACACAGAGCTCCAAGGCTTTGGGCCATCTTCTATTACTTTCCCAGGCCACAAGCAGGGAGCTGGATGGGAAGTGGAGCATCTGGGACATGAACCAGCACCCATATGGGATCTTGGTGCTTGCAAGAGGAGGTTTAGCTAATTGAGCCATCATACAGTGCCCCCTGCCCCTCCCTCCCCAAATTCTTAAAATAGAGGGAAGAAGCCCTGCAGGCAAGGGCATAGCAGGAGCAGTTAGAAGCAGGTACTCTTCCAGTCACCTGGGGTGGAGCTGCAGGACATGCAGACCTGGTTCTGGGGATACCAGACCCACATCCCCAACTGTGTCCCTCTAGTGCCTGCTATGATGGCTTCTGGCTCCACCTTAAACAGACCGTGTGGCTCCAGTGGGCGCAGCTCTGAGCAGACAGCTCCCAAGGAGATCAGTGGCCAGGTAGTCTTGCACTTTTGTCCACACACCATCTGCTCAACCTGTGCTGCCACCTCTGGCTTCTGTCCCCGAGGTCACAGGAGCAGAGAGCAAGGCCAGCTCTTGGCTGGGTTGCGTCATCTAGGGGCAAAGAGTTCTGTTTGTGTGGATGGCACAGAACCACCGCTGTGAGGTAGTCATGTGCCTTGACCATGGCCTGCGGAGGGACCTGTGTTGGTGGCTGGCATGCCTTCCTGTGTTGTTTGTTTAAGATAAACTTTAAAAAAAAAATATTTGAGAGGAAGAGAGCAAGCGAGCATGTGAGCTTCCATCTGCTGGCTCGCTGCCCCAGGGCCAGGCGCAGCTGAGGCTGGGCTGGGGCCAGAGCCAGGAGCTGCGAATGGCGCCCGCATCTCCCATACCGGGCTCCTGTGTGTCTTGGCCTGTGACTAAACCCGCCCTTCCCCATGTCTTTTGTTGAATCTACTCTGATGTTTCTCAGTGACTTTTTTTTCAGAGCTCCTGACTGCGTTTTGGCTTTGTTTCATGCCAAGGAAGAGCGTTAAGACAAAGTCATGGTCTCTCTCTTTAAATATTTGTTTTGAAAGTCAAGAGTTAGAGACAGAAGTCATTCATGCACTTGCTCATTCCCCAGTGTCAGCCAGGCTGACGCCAGGAGCCAGGAGCTTCTTCTGGATCTCCCACTTGGATGCAGGGGGGATTGATGGGGAGGGAAGCAAGCACTTGGCCTATTAGAAGTGGAGCTGCCAGAACATGGACCAGTGCCCTTATGGGATGCTGGCACTGCAGGTGGCAGCCTACCATGCTACAGCACAATGCCAGCCCCAACAAACTCATTCTCCAGACCCTTGCTTTTCTGCTGCTTTTGTCTCTGCTGCTCGGGCCCCGAGCCTGGATTCCTGCTCAGGTGGCATCTGTGCCAGTGAGTGCTCCATGGAGCGGTTCCTCTGGCTGCAACAGGTTCAGTGATGGCGTGTGTCCACTGGCAGCCTGGAAGCAGCTTCACTAAAATTAGCAAATCCTTCTGGCCTGCTTGATGTGTCAGGAGAAGCTGGTGTTTGTTTTTGTTCATCTGTTCTCCTAGCAGTCCAGTGGCCTGTGTGCCAGCAGCTGCCAGGAGCAGATTTTGAGAAGCTCTGAGGGGGAACAGCACCCCCAGCCTCTACCCCCAGCCCCCTACTCCGCCTTCTGTAATTCAGAAGGTGGTCTCCCCTCACCCCCAGACTGCTCTTAGGCCCCTCTCCTTTGCTGCTCTGGGTTGGGTACTGGGAGGAACAGCATGCCCAAGTAAAGCATGTGGTCGCAGTCCCTACCAGGATCTTGACCCATGATGCATCCCGTCTTCACAGCCCCTGAAGCGAGCCTGGGTGGTCCGTGACAGAGTGGCTCTCTGCGGATCCACACCTGCAAATGTGGCCAAGGTGCCTAGCTGCCACTCAGTGACCACGCAGACCTGGGACTTGACGGTCAAGGTCGATGGCTGGGCTGCAGGGCAGGGAGGCCCTGGGATGCAGCAGCTGGGGGAGGTTGGTCATGCTGGTCCCCCAGGTGCTTATGTGGAACCTGCTGCCCACGTGGGCACCTCCTCCAGGTGTGTACGTCCTTCACGGCAGAGTATGCCACGTATGGCCACGTCAAGATGCACCACGGCTACACCAATGTGGTGGGCCTGGGCGACTCCAGCACCTGGAAGCTGCCTTGCCTCAATCGCTATGTCTACATGTTCCTGGCACCCTTCTTGTTGCCCATCGTAACACCACTGGTGGCTGTCGGTACGTAGTGCATACTTCCTCTGCAAACTTGGTCCCACTGCTGCCCCTGCCTCTGCTCTCTGGCTTGGTGGAGGCCAGTGGTGGAGGAAGTGGGGACCCAACACCCGAGGCCACGCCTGGTCCTGGTATGCCTGATCGGCAATGGCAGGTTCACGACCTCCTCATTGCAGGTGCGAGAACGGAAGGAGGCAGAGATGCACAAACAGCATGAGGAACTTTAAAAAGTTTTTTGGAAAATGGAAGTGAAAAAAGTTTATTTTGGGGCAAAAATTTTTTTTTAGATTTCTGCATAGTTTTTTCATTATCCCCATTTTCTTCTCTTTTCTTCTCTTCTCTTTTCTTTTCTTTTTCTGAAAAGCTCGTTTTCTTTATAAACCAGAATGACAGAGAGGGAGAGGGGGAGGGGAAGGGGCGATCTTCCATCTGCTAATTCACTCCTCAAATGGCCATGACCAAAAAGCAAGGAATCAGAAACTCCATTTGAGTCCCCTATGTGGGTGCAGGGGCCCAAACACTGGAGCTGTCCTCTGCTGCTTGCCCACGTGCATTAGCAGGGAGCTGGGTGGGAAGTGAAACATCTGAAACTCCAACTGGCACCCATGTAGGGTGCTCATGTTGCAAGCTGTGGTCTAACCCACTGTACTTCAACATCAGCTCCAAAACACACGTTTTCTATGAAATGAGAACCCCTCCAGACATGGATTGCAGATTTTAAAAAAATACTTTTTCTCTATTTTTATTTGAAGGCATATTTAGAGAGAGGAGAGACAGAGAGAGAGATCTTGCATTAGCTTGCACACTCCCCAAATGGCCACAACAGCCAGAGCTGAGCTGACACAAAGCCAAGAGCCAGGACTTTCATCTGGGTCCCCTGTGTGGATGTAAAAGCCCAAGGACTTAAGCCACCCTCTGCTCGCTTCCTAGGCCACAAGCAAGCAGCTGGATTGGAAGTAGAGCAGCTGACACCCAAACCAGCATCTGTATTGTCCTCCCGTGACGTGGCATTGATCCCAATTCATCTGTTGATTTAATTTTCTACAAACTTCTGGAACTGCTTTATAGTACATGTTCTGGTTGTTGATTTTGTATAGTGGAAGGCCTATAAGGCAGCAAGACCTGGGTTCAAGTCCCATGTCTTGGGGTTAGCATTGTGGCAGAGCAAATTAAATTGCTGCCTGCAACGCTGAGATCCTGTATGGGCTGCTCCATTTCTGTTCCAGCTCCCTGTTAATGTTCCTGGCAAGACAGGGCAGATGGCCCAAGTGCTTGGGCCCCTGCCCTCAAATAAAGAAAGAAAGAAAGTGGATTTGTTGTTGTTGTTGTTGTTTTTAAGGAAACAACAGCCATGCCCAGGATTTGACCCTGTGGACAGAAGGAGGCAGAGTAGGGAAAGGAGTTGGAGTGGATCTGGATTTGCCGTGAGAACTTCAGCTCAGGACCATGGTCGTGGAGCCTGCACTCATGGTGCCGGCCGCCTTCCCCACTGCTTGAGTCAGTCAGGAAGCCGAGTCCCCAGGCAGCGTGAGGCCAGATGCTCACCTCCACTTTATAAGACGCTGATGGCGAGGGGCGTCCACCTGTCCGCATCGGGGTTAGCTGTGTGTGTAGGAGGGGCTCAGCCCTGGGCGTGTCATCACTCTCCCATTACGCCCTCCAGGTGCCTCCCTCCAGTTTGGTGTCCTGGACTGTTCCTAGCCCTGGGGTAGGGGCTGGGAAGGAGGTGAGGGTCAGGCTGAGGTTATATGTGGCTTCTTCGTAACCCACCTGGCTCACTCAGGTTGCTGCAGTCTCCGGTTTCTTCTGGAGGTTTCCTTGAGTTCACAGCCATGATTAGGCTGTTGAAAGTGTCCGTGGTGACCCCCACTTTTCAAGGTGCCCCGGAGCCAGTGGCAATGCAGGGTGGCAGTGGGCAGAGAGGGTCGGCGGTGCACCTGGCCTGCCCTTCACTCAGCGTCCTGTTGTCCTGTCCTGGCAGAGCGACTGCGGCAGGTGGAGCTGGGTTCAGCCCTCCGGACACTGAGCCTCATCTCCCTGGGCCTCTACTCACACTACTGGTTGCTGCTGCACGTGTCAGGCTTCCGGAGCTCCAGCTCAGCTCTGCTCTGCATGCTGGTAACCCGCTCGCTGCTGGCCCACCCATACCTGCATGTGAACATCTTCCAGGTGAGGTCTCCCTGGGCCCAGGTGCTGGGCATGCCAACCTGGACCCCAGCCGAGGCCCTGAGGTGGGCTGAAGCAGCAGCCTGGGATGGGGCGGGGGGCATTGACTTGATGAAAGACGCTCAGTATGCCCTTTTGGTCCCATTTCCTCCAGCAAGGAGGGCCTCAGACCATAGCTGCCACTAATAATCCTACAAGTGTGTCCCATCTGCATGTCCCATGCTAACAGACAGCTCCAGGTGCCCAGGCCCAGGGCAGTGCCTGACAGAAAGAGGCACCCCTGCCTTCTTGTTGAAGGAAAAAATACAAGAGGCTGACCTTGGACAGGTCTGGGAGGGGGCTGGGCACAGACAGGGCTGGTCCTGGGGTTGCAGCAGGATCCCGGCTTGCACCTCTCCCAGGTCCTGCCCGAGGATGGTGGGGTCAGTCAGAAACCCCTCCGAGAGCTTGGTGAGGAAGTGTGGGCTGCCTGGCCCCGCCGTTGGGCATGACCCACCCGTGTGTCACAGCACATCGGGCTGCCCATGTTCTCCCCGGACAAGAAGCCTCGGCGGATTCACATGATGAGCCTGGGGGTGCTGAACCTGCCCCGGCTGCCCGTGCTGGACTGGGCCTTCGGCCACTCGCTCATCAGCTGCCACGTGGAGCACCACCTGTTCCCCAGGCTCTCCGACAACATGTGCCTGAAGGTAGCCATGGCCAGGGGTGGTTAGAGGAGTAGGGGAGAAGGGTTGGGATGAAGGTCAGGGTGGGGTCACCCTCAGGGTTTGCCTCGGTCTCCAGCTGGCAAGGCAGCCCTTTGTGCACGCAGCAGCAGATGGGTTTGGGGTAAGCAAATCTAAATGGGGAACTGGCGACAATGGACTTTGAGGATGAAACACAGACATGCAAGGCCGCCACACCATGGATGCTTTGTAAAAGGGAATCACACTTTTGTCCAGAGCATCTTGGGTCAAAGCCCATGGAGCCAGGGGTGGGAAGAGGACAGCCCAGGATGGACAGATCCCAGGCGGCCCTGGCTCATGGGCCCCTCCTCCCACCCAACCTTCACCAGGTGAAGCCAGTGGTGTCCCAGTTCCTGCATGAGAAGCGGCTGCCCTACAACGAAGACTCCTACCTGGCTCGCTTCCGGTTGTTTCTCAGGCGCTACGAGGAATTCATGGTGCATGCCCCACCCATCACCGAGCTGGTGGGGCTGCAATGAGGGTGAGGGCTGGGGGGCCAGGACAACCACCGGCCCCCCTCCCCTCCCAGCCTTGGCCCTTTCTCTGCTTGCTGGCTGGCTGGCTGCAGATGCAGCTCCGTGGCTGGTGGTGGAACTGTGGAGGAGTCAGGTGGCAGCCTTAACTCAGGACTAAAGGGCCAGAACCCTCTCCCGTGCCCTGTCTGCCCCGTTGGAGCCTGGGTCTAAGGGGAGGAGGCGGATGTCAGCTGGAGGGGGCACACAAGAAGCACCCCCCTAAGTCAGGACCTCCCTGGGCCACCGGCTCTTCCTGCATCTATAAGGTGCTGAGTTTCATGGGCCGTCTTCCTTTGGGTGTCTCTCTCTACTTTATCCGCTAGAGAAGCCCAGCCATCCAGAGCCTCCCCTCCCATGTCCCCGCCAGAGCCAGAGAAGTAAGCTCCTTGTGTCCAGCAAGTCTAGCTAGCCTTGGGTGCAACCTCGGCCTTGGCAAGTTTTAGAAAAGTCTGCTTTGTTCCATGGTGTGAGGGAGGGAGGAACTGTGGAGAAGGCATGTGAGTCCACAGGGGTCATGGGAACCGGGTCTAATGACTGGAGATCAAAGGCCGGGGAGGGCTGGGTATGGCTGTGAGAGCAAGAAGAGCAGCCTGGAGGTAGGCGAGGGAAGGAGGCCAAGGTCAGGTGGTTCTGATGCTACCTGGAAGGAGAGGCTAAGGTCCTGCACAGTCAGGCGTCTCTGCTGATTCAGCCCAGCATGGGCAGAGCTGAATGATCCTTCTGTAAGCCACACCTGCCTGGGCCTGAGCTGGGGGCATTCCAGTGGAGGTGGGGTTTATTCCCTGGGCACAGCTGACATTTTTTTCTGGATGATTCTGAAAGGCTGGGGGCTGTCTTGGAAGACATATGGAAGCGTCCTCCACCAAATGCCAGGAGGCTCTATGATGGTGGGGGTTGGGAGAGCATGGCACTATCTCTGGTGGTGAAGTTGCAAGCATTCTCCAGGCCTTGAAGGGGGGTGAAGGACGTGCTTAGACCGATAACGGCAAGGGGAAGGGTAAGTGCCAGCCAATGAGCTCCCTGGGGGGAGGCAGGCACAGCAGCCTGCACGCAAAGGCAGTCCTTGACCTGGTACCCGCCGGAGAGGCATGGTGTGGCCCACAACTCCAGCTGGCACTGGCCTCCCACAGGGGCCTTCCTTGAGCTTCTTGTGGCCAGCTGTTGACTGCCTGAGGTATGTCCCCACTTCCCTTCACCTCTGCACAGATGGGTGATTTAGTGCTGTGTGTGCGCGCGCGCACGCGCACTGCAAGGGCAGGGTTGGATCCCAGCAACCCTCCTGGCATGAGGCAGGCCCGCAGCCTCCTGCTTGGCTATATGCTGTGCTGGCTCTTTTGAAATGCATTAGCAGCTCAGTAGAAGCCTGAAGGTCTGGGAGTAAAAGCCATCAAGCTGCTAAGTCATTTGCTGCTCCAGTACTGATCCAGCTGGGCAGCAGCCGGAGGTCCTGATGCCACCGCGGGCGCTCCAGGCCCCGACTGACCTCTGCAAAGCTCGGGTTTCTGCTCCTCCGAGGATGTGGGCTGGGACTGCTCGGGAACACGAGTGACAGGGATGGGGAACATGCTTCTGGGGCCTGTGGCTTCCAGTCCCATTCCCTGACGGGCATGGCAGTCAGCAGCTCCACACATGGACAGGCACTTTCACCGTGTCATCTATTTGAAGGTGACACTGTTGTCCTCTCACATGCTACAGATGGGTAAGGGGAAAATGTTTATATTTTTTTCCCTCAAAGACTTATTTGAAAGGTATTGTTAGAGATCTATCCGCTGGTTCACTCCCCAAATGGCTGTAACAGCTGGGGCTAGATCAGACTGAAGCCAGGAGCCAGGAACCCCTTCTGGGTCTACCAAGTGGGTGCAAGGGACCCGAGCACTTGGGCCATCCTCTGCTGCTTTCCCAGGCGCATTAGCAGGGAGCTGGACCAGAAGTGGGACAGCCGGGACCCAAACCAGTACCTGTATGGGATGCTGGCTGCACAGGTGGTGGTTTTACCCTTCACAGCGGAGCACCAGCCCCTGTGGGAAGATGTGAACCCGGGGTCATGCTCGCTCTGGAGTTCATTAAGAAAGTTCACTGGGGGGCTCAGGCCCCTTGCAAAGCTTGGGTGGGCTTACGAGTGAATGGGCGTGGGTTTCCACCTCCAAGGAGCAACAGTCCAATGCAGGGGCCAGAGACATATTCAAGACCATGTAGTCTTGGTCAGGATGGAAACGGCCACAAATGGAAAGAAACGAGCCCAGCTGAGTCCCTTCATCAGTACCAACATGTCACCAAATGTGCTTTCAACAAAATGTTTTCCCATTAAAAAAACAAAAAGCCAGGCTCACTCTTGAGGGCTCCTATGAAAGCAGGTGGGCGGACGGTGTTTAGCCCTGACGCCTGGTCTAGGGGAAGTGTCCTAAAGCCCCATGGCTCGTGGGCAGGTCAGGCAGAGCAGGCTCCTGGGACACCTGATCTGGGGTGGGCCCAGGGTTGTACCTGCTGTGGTCCATCTGGCTGGACTTTTGTGAAACAAAACAAGCTCTATTGCAAATGGCAAGTGGGCGTAACAGGTGGTCAATAAAACTCTACAAGACTGTTGTTCTGGACTAAATTCTTGCATCAACAGATGAGGCAAAAAAAAACAAAAACAAAAACAAAAACGCACAGTGCAGTCACTCCTCAGAGCTCCACCTTTCTGACATTCCCGGAAGTCAGGATGAAATAACAGACCCGCTTCCCACAAAGGCGTTTCAATCAGCATATTGATGATTCCGCTGTCCTTCAAAAAGTTATCGGAAAGGCAGAATGACAGAGATCTTCCACCCGCTGGTTTACTCCCCAAGTGGCTGCAAGGGCTGGAACTGAAGCGAGCAGGAGCACGTGCCGCACCTCCCAGGCAAGTGCAGAAGACCCCAGGACCCAGCCATCCTCACTGCTTTCCCAGACCAGAAGTGGAGCAGCCGGCGTCCAAGTGGGATGCCGGAGATTCACCGCTAATTTCAACTCTAGAAAGGCTGAAGGCTGGCAGCCCGTCCACCCTCCCGCCAGTGCAGACCAGGAGAGGGCAGGTGGATGGGTGGACGGTGGCCCGGGGCCTTGCCATGCTCCGGGGAGCCCCGGGCCGCCCGGCTGCAGCTTCCCCCTGGACGGGACCTCGGCCTCCTGCAGGCACCTCCAGTGCAGACCAGGCGAGGACGGGTGGTTGGGTGGACGGCGGCCCGGGGCCTTGCCATGCTCCGGGGAGCCCCGGGCCACCCGGGCTGCAGCTTTCCCCCAACGGGATCCCGTCCTCATGAGGGAATCTCCAGGACCAAACCCGTTTCCGGCTTCCAGACTTCCGGATTCCGCAGTCATTACCCAATCAGCGGGAGGCGCGCTGGTAGCCTGGTTTGTGATTGGCTGTTGATAAAATCGGCGCTCTAAAAAAAAAAAGCGCTTGCGTAATCAGTGAGCGACGAAAGCTTTCTAGGATAGGCGGGACTAAATCAAGGAAGCTCCTTTCTAATTGGCTTGCTCCTTGATTGATACAGCGATGAAGATTCGCTCTTCTCCAATTGCAAGCGTTTGGTATTTGGAGGGCGAAAGAAGATTGGGGAAAAAATTTAGTTTGACAGCTATTTACGGTCCGGAAGTCTCGAGTGGGCGGGCCTTAGCGATAGGGGCGGATCCAGAGGTGGCACTGAGGCCGCAACGGGCTTTCCCGGCGTGTGGGGGCGGGGTCTGGGGCGGGGTCGCGGACGTGGGCGGGGCTGGGGGCGGGGCCGGCGGCGCCGCGCGCGGAGCCGTCACTCGCTCCGGGTCCACTTGCTGCCGAGCGCCGGACCCGGCCATGGCTCTGCGCTGCTCGTGCAGGTGGCCGTGGTCAGCGTGGCCTCGGACCCGTCCGTCCTTCGCCAGGAACACCCCGAGTAGGAACAGGGCGCCTCTGGGGTTCACGGGAGGCCTGCGGGCTCCAAGTGCCAGCAGGGGTCTGCGCAGAGCTGGGGCAGAGCTGGGGAGGGGCGCGGCCAGAAGGGTCCATCCACGCGGGGAGATGGGAGGCCTCCTGGGTGAGGAGGGGAAGCCGCGGGCCCCACAGGTGTGAGAGAAGGGGTGGCTGGGGGCGGTACCCAGGTCTGTTGGGGGAGGGAGCCGTCGGGAGGACGGAGGGTTCTGGTGTGAGAGGGGCTGGGCAGAGGGGTGCTGTGTGGGGAGGTGCCCAGGCGTGAGACTGGCATCGCACAGCCGAGCGCCGGACCCGGCCATGGCTCTGCGCTGCTCGTGCAGGTGGCCGTGGTCAGCGCGGCCTCGGACCCGTCTGCAAGGGTCTGCTGCAAGGAAGTGGGATGAGGGGCTGCCTAAGAGCAAAGTGCTGTGTGCCCAGTAGCTGAGGAAAGCTGAGGGGTGCTGGGTGGGCTTTGGGATCATTTTAGTGGTGAGGTGTGGAGCTCTGCCTTTGGGATCCCTGGGAATGTAGTGGGTGCTGGGGCGGCCTGGGTCCCTCCACCCGCGTTTGTGCCTTACTCCCGTCCACGCCCAGGCCTCTGCCAGCAGTTCTCCACGCAGGAGATTAACCCCCAGATCTGTGTGGTGGGTAGTGGCCCAGCTGGCTTCTACACAGCCCAGCACGTGCTCAAGGTAAGCTGCTCCTTCCAGCCCCTAAGTGAACCCCCAAACCTGCTGAGTTTGTCCACTGGCCCCTGGACTCACAGCTCCTCCCTTCTGGCACAGGAAGGCCAAGGTCTCGGGCTTTTGATGGTGACCTTGGTGGGGAGGCCCTGAGGCCATTCTGCTTGCACAGGCTGTGGTCTAGCGTCAAGGAGGGTGTGGACCTGCCTGTCCCTAATAAAGACTGCAGTTACACACAGATGAACTGATGCCAGTGTGGCTGGCAATGCCATGCTGATTGCTCAGGACAAGGGGCCCTCGGCGCTGCAGCTGGGACCGGGAGACGAGGTGGTCTCACCCTACTGTCCAGCAGCACCGAGCACAGGACTCCCTCCAGGGACACATGCAGCGTGCCCCCAGACTGTCAGCACCCCAGCTCAAGTGTTCCGTGTCCCATGTTGTAGTTCCTGGGTTCCAACCCCCAAGTTCCTGCTAACGTAGACCCTGTGAGGCAACGGTTGTATTCCTGCCACAC